TTTCTATTTATTCTAATCACCCGGAGTATAATTAAAATATTATTTTAATTCAACTTTAAATACCTGTCGTATTTAATGGATTTTTAATTGAAATTCTTCGTTTTGTAATATTGCTAACAATTTCATCATCATCACAATCAATATGCTGTATTTCTGCATCTTCTGATTCAAATATAGTATCTTCATCAAAAAACAGATCATTACTTGGTGGTGCCTCGCTTGCTAAGTCAAAAATTATTTCTTTAACCTTTGGAATTACCCGACTTAAGGTCACATATGTATTACCAGAAAATTCTCGTGTCATCTCTTCAAATGGCATTAGTAAATCGATAAGTTGATCTATTAGCTCCCACTCTTCATCAGAAAGAAGAATTCTTTTTAATTTACTACTATCTTTTTTGATTTCTCGATCAATTGATGTGTATAAATCGGTTTGAAGTTGGGTAATAGCATCTTTTATAAAATAAAGCCGATCTCAAGCGTAATATGTTGAGTTCCAACGTGTAGGTATATCTTGAATACAACCTATAACATCTGTGTAGCCAAGTCGCTTCTGAACTTCTTTTAATCGCTCTAATTGTTTTTGAGTTTGAAAAAAATGAATTATTCTTTTTACGTGTACAACTAAAATTTCTGCTGAAGCTAGCCCCTTTCTGATTGCTAATTGTATAGTATGGGCTACACATGGAAGACGCTTAATTTTTTCACACCCATCCTTTTGGTTCAATAAAGGAAAAGTTGATACCATATTGGCTCTACTATCAGTGGTAATCAAGATTATATGATTTTTAAGATTCTATAATTCAATAAACTTATAAAGTTCATTAACAATAATTTTGCTAGTATGCGGAGAAGAAACATATTGAGTTTCTAACATTACATCTTTTATTTCAAAATCTGATGTAACCCAAGTCGCAGTAATCCCCAAATACTCGTGTTTTGCTTTACTAGACCAGAAATCCATAGTAAGAGAAACACTTTCCGCAATATTAACAAGATTTTGCAAATTTTCTCGATTATACTTATAGCTTTTAACAATCATAGTTCTGATTTTTTTTTCACTCGAAACAACAAATGCAGGGTTAAATTCAGACATTTTTTCTCTATAAGCATTATCTATAACAGTAGATAAAGATTGATTTGTAAGTATCATCCATTTAAAAAGTACTTCTTCTCGTCTTTTTTGAATATGTTTAGGGTGAGGACGAACTTTTTGTATAAAATCAGTGATTTTGGAATTTCGCGGCTAAAAAAATTAGAAATATTAATAAGATATTTATTATATTTAATCTCTAAATATTATAATATATTATTATAGTATATACTTTTTTTAAAACTACTATATCGTCTTGTGAAACGATTCCATGTACATCTCTGAAGTGCGCAATAAGATTTCCTGTCGAGCTTCCAATATTCTTATATTCTTGATTGCATTTTTTTCTATTTTCATCCTGGACCTTGCAAACCCGCACTTCTTCACCTGTACTATTGACTATTTTTTCAAAATATTCTCGCGTAAATGATGGATTTTTACGTTTGTATAGTTTTTTATTTTTGGAGATAATGGATTCTTTATCTAAAAAAAAAAATTAACTATTACTAAGTCTCTAGCTTTATAGTTTTATCATTATAACTTAATACCTTTTTCTTTGTTTTCTAGAGTTGTTTGAATTTCAGGTAGTGTTTCAGTTGATAAATTAGATGAAGTCCTTGAATTTTCAAATTGATCATATTGTTCCAAATATATATGCGTAGTTTCAAAGTCAAAGTCATTACTTTGATAATATTCTGAACTATCGTCAACCATCGTTCTTCACTATCTATGGCCGATATTTAAAAAAACTAACTAGCGATCGATCCTTTAACCAATGCTTATAAATTATTAACCCCTTAATTACATCATTTTTACAAATTAGTCAGTCTATGAACTTCCAAGTTTATAATTTGATCATTAATGCTGAACCGTGAACAGACAAAAAACTGGCGAAGAATATAGTAACAAAGAGATCCTTAAAAAAGAAAAGGTTAATAGATCTTATAAAGTTCTTGGACTTCGAGAAGAGGCTACTTTAACTCAAAAGAATTGTTTCTTCTAATCTTGAAGCAATCTAATCTTACATAAATAATCAGCTTTTTTTTTTAAAAAAAAAAAAAAAAATAAGCAACCAACAAAAATTATTATTTGTTCATCACTTTTTAATCATTATTATGTAATAAAAAAAAGACTGATTTCATGAAATGGGTTTTAAACATATTCCTCTTATTTAACAAATGCTATTTTTTTCACAGTCATTTCATAAAAATCCAACTAATAATTCTGAAGCTTTATATTTATATGCACATGTGTATAGGTTAACAAATATGTCTATATCATTTTACAGCCTTTCTTTTCTTGCATTACATTTCTTCACGGCTTTATTAATACACCTTTTTTTAATCCCAACGTTCTGCTTAAACCCACTCTAACAATAGCATGTATTTTCTTTGACTTATGATTTACTGACCTCCTTTTTTCCTTTTATATATTTGCTACTGCTACGAATTTGATGATACGTATAAATAAACTCTATACACAAACTTCCTGGTTTATCTGATATTACCAAACAAATTTATTTCGTATTACGTACTAGTATGTACATACGTACAGTCAGCTCACAAAGTTTAATACGGTTGCACAAATATAATGATAAACGATAAATAAATTGCATAAATTAATAATATTAATGTATGGTACATGAGGATTGATACATATATGCTATCTTTTAAGGTCTCGTAAGTTTCGGAGGCGGCCTTCGTTGCTAAGCGTTATATTCTCAATAGGATAGGTTTTTTATTATTTTTGTGTAATAGTGTTAGACTTTGTGAACCGACTGTACGTTTGTGTCAGGCATGTGCTTCTGATAAAATATGGAAGCAATCCTTATCCTTAATCTGATCCTTAATCCGAGATGTAATACGGATCCATCCATTTAAAATTGACAGATACGGATATCTGAGTTCAATCTGAATTATCGGATCCATCCGAATTAATCGGATTACGGATCGAAGCACTACTCGTAAATGTAAACTTGCTCAATTATCTGTTAATTAATTATATTTTAAGAGCTAGTCTTAATCAATATAAACTTTAAAAATTCAAATACAAAATGAACATACTCATTCTTATTTCTATTAAGAATTAAATCATGTTTCAAAATCTTAATTACGGAAACTAGTAGAAATACAATGACTTCTTTTTTACTATTTCTAATTAAAAATTAAATCTATAAATTAGAAATCTAAAATATTGCACATTCAAAAGAATATAAAATCAGATAACTGCAACAAGTTAGTGATAGCATCATGAATATTAAATTTTATTTTTTTTTTTGGTATTAAGGTGACCCCTTCGGTCAAGTACTTTTTATTATTGTATGGACTATTTTTACAACTAGATGATCTATATCCGTCATATATATATTTCTATATACATAATCTCACTACAATACCATTTTAAGTAACTACCTTAGAACAATTTTATTCTCGGGGTAAACCTACTAGAGCCTTCTATTTTCCCCACTATTAATAGCTAACCTAGTTTTAATGCCCTTATAAGGTTCACATAGCTACCGCAACCAGAACCCCGGTCTGTAAGCCGTACTAGGCTTCTGCTACCTCCTTATTCAGGTCTTGCCAAGTAGGTTTCCGTCTTTATTGGTTCTATAGATTTACATAGACATAAGGACTTATCGTGGGTTTGCACTGCCTATACTAGCTTGTATTCCTTTGTACAACTCTTCTGTTATACAAATACCATGCGATCTTCCAAATCTTGATTCGGTTTCTAGTAAACCTTTCGAAATAAGCTATCTCGGGTCAGGCACAAACCCAATTTTGGGTAGTGATTATCCTAGCCACTATTTGGTCTGACTATAGTTACAGAATCAGATATCCCAACCTTAAGAAGACAGTTACTGTAACACAAATAGAAATTCAAATTTTCGTCACCGGTGAGGTTCGAACTCTTGACTTGCCGCTTGGGGTGACAACTTGACCACTTCACTAAGTCGCCACACCCTTGCATTATGAATATTAATACCTTTTTAGTTTCTTAAAAACAAATATCATTATCGTTTGATAAAAAAAAAATTGTACAATTAAAAAAAAAATTAGTCTAAATAAAATAAATAAATAAAACTTTAAAACAAGTATAATAGTATACTCAAAACTACAGTATTATTCTTTTTTTCTAAATTTCTAAAAATTTAAATCACAAAAAACAATGCTTGCAAAAGTATTAACCCTTTGCTATATTCACAATTGCTCAGATCGAGTCGCTCAAAATTTTTTTCTAAAAGAAATAACCAGAATAGTAAAATCAGATAGTGATGACTCTACCAAAGTTTTATTTTTGAAAATAAAAGCTTTCATACCTATCGATAAAAATATTGAACACTATATAGAACCATTTAAAGTAGATAATATAGTCTATATTCGAGAGAAATTTGTAGCTCATGAAAATTACTACATGGTTTGTTATATTAAATTACCTTTATGCACTTCACCCTTACATATATTTCTGAGTTAAGCCACTCTCCTTTATAAAGTACTTGCAATATTTGCTTAGATATTTTTATTTCATTTATTAATATCAATATAGTATTAACATAAACAGTACAATATAAGTGTAAAGTTTGTATCATGAAATATTAAGATTCTATATATAAAACTATAAAGTTTTACAGAGAAGAGTAGTTTAGCCTGTGAAATAAATATCACTAAAAGAAAACCTAAAAATTTAAATATAGCATATTTAAATTTTTAGGTTTTCTTTTAACGATACCCAAATATAAAAAATATATACTCATAAATTTTATCTTTCTTACGCTATAAGGTTACTGCTACGTCAATTAAAGTAATTGATTTGAGGTTTGAAGAAATGCCTGCAATCGATATGGGTGTTACAGTTACTGGTCAAATGACACAAACTGCCAAAACTGTAGACAAAAGTATAGTTCTTAACTTTTATGTCGAAAAAAGAGTTGGTGAAAAAGAACTAAATGACTTCTAGATAGAAGTCAGACATAAAATAAACAACACTTATCTTGCAAACTGAACTAATACCATAAATCAAAAAATTTGCTCTACTACCACCCTTCTTGTCAGCACCATGAATTACCTTTGTCCAACATCTGATTCTAATGAAGAAAACCATATCTTAATATTGGAAGAAATTTCTTTACTCACCTCACATATTAGCAATAAAAATACAAACAACCAAGCCATCAATATCCCTTGGTTATCCCAGGTAGCAGTTCTGCATATATCCTTAACAGAATCAATTATACACCTTGAGAAGCTACATCAAGAATCCATGAAAAGACCATCTTATATTATCTCAGATAGGTCCGACAATTATACCTTCCTTCAGCCCTAGTTTTCAGGCAACTTTAGAAACAAACCTGATACTATTACCACCTGAACAAATACCGTCAAGTCAAGAAACACAAGATTAGAATGATCATGAATCTAATTGATCTATCCGTCTAAATAATCTGATTTTCTTTTTTTTTTTTAACACAATTGAAGTAAAAAAATAAGTAAAAAATAAAAAAAAAAGATACAAAAATAATAATAATAATAATAATAATAATAATAATAAAAATATATATATATTGTATAAATATATATATATAAAAAAAATACAAATATATATATATCCTCTTCTTCTACATTAATCTAATTTTCTTAAAAAATTGTAGGTTACTAGCCAAATAAGGCTAGGTAGATAATGATATAACTTTCATTTCTTCATAGTTATCTTTACTTTTGCATATCTAGTAGATCATAGCTAGATTCATTTTTTCTTAATTTTTCATGTCTCAGGGATCAGTTAACCGATTTCTATATTAAATATCTAAAAAATTTACAGCAATAAAATAATAAATCAATGAAAATTTAAAGGTTATGCACGTAATTAACTTGCTAACAATAAACATTTATTACAATAAATATATGTACATAACAATCGTAAAAGTTATACAAAAACTTAATTTATACTTTTTTTATATAACAAGTAAAAATTGCATTTTACTAAAATATGACCAATCCAATTTTCTGATACTACGTACGTATATACCTTATAGCAGTTTAACTTTTTTCGACAATGTAATATTGTAATATCTTATTTTTTTTACTAAATCAAATAAAGCTATATTAGAATAAATATAGATATACTAATGAGACTCTGAGTTGCTGAAAGGTACCTATATATATTTTTTGTTTTCTTATTTCTTTATTTTGCAATTTCATTTCCAAATACAGAAATATAGTGTGTTTGTATCCTTATTTGTATAGAACCAAATTGGCATCACAATATAATTATATATAATAATGCTTCTTTTAAAATACAATAATACTACAAAGAAACAATTATACAAAGAAAGATATTTATATTATTCACAAATTTACTGGTACACCATCCTTTATCTATTTCTTCAGAAAGATTTACAAAGAATCTAATTAATCACATTAATTCATTGTTATTTGGTGATATTTTAATTAGTACTAAATGCAACAAAAATATAAAAAATAAAATTTATTACATATATTTATATTAATTTCAAGATTTTCTGAACATATTTAAACACATCAATCCTTGATAAATTTCTTTTAAAATTCAAAACAATCAATTACTTTCTACAGTAATATCATCATGTTAATCGATATTTCTCATTGCCCCTTATTAAAAAACTAAAAACTGATCAATTCAGTCTACAACAATTAATCTATACCTATAACTTAAAAACAGACAATAAATAAAGCATC